AAATAAAAACGTTGAAAAAAAAAATAAAAAAAAAATAATAAAATAAAATAAAAAGAAAGCACCGCCACCCCCCTGTTCCCTTTCCACCGTGGGTTGGAATGCAGAGGGGTCAGTGTAGACGTGGGGACTGTCTCGCTGGAGAGGAACACCCACACTGAAGCCTCTGGTAGTTTTATGGACCCTGGGGCAGGGGAGAGAGGGCCAGGGGGGTGGGCTGGAGGTAGAAAGTCCTGAGTCCTGAGTCTTTAGTGGCCCCGGGGTTGGGGGGGGGGGAATCTTGTCTGCCAGGCATCCCCCTTCTCTCCCTATGTGGCAGGGGTGCAAAGGAAGAAGAAGGACATCTAGGGAAGCCCTCTGATGAAGGTCTTAGATGAAGACACTTAGGACCGCAGGCGGCTGGGCTAGGAACGCAGGTTATGTTAAGAGCGGGACGGGCTGCCACACGCGGGCTGTTCACCAGGTCTGGTGCGGGGAGGCCAGCCTTCCTCCCTGAGGCCTGTCAGGGAAACGCTTTCTAATTGCCCATGGTCCGGCCTCAGAAAGCACATGTATGTTTTTGGCGAAAATGCCAGAATTTGGTTACAATGAGGAGGTGGACGGACTCCTTACTGATAAAAGCAAAGTATTAGAAACGAACTAAGAACCCGTCAGTAGGGGATTGGTTAAAGATGTTGTGGTAGATCCCCGCCAGGAAATCCTATGTGTGTTTCAGAAACAGGAAGTCGTGGAGCACCTGAGTGTCTCCGTTGGTTAAACGGCCGATCCTTGATTTCAGCTCGGGTCGTGATCTCGCGGTTCATGGGTTCGAGCCCCACGTCAGGCTCCCCCGCCGGTGGCACGGAGCCTGCTCGGGATCTCTCTCTCCCTCTCTCTGTGCTCCTCCCTCCCTTGTGCTGTCTCTGTCTCTCTCACAAATAAAGACATAAACTTAAAAATAGAAAAGAAAGAGGAAGTTGTCTTGTACATTCGCAAGCACAGAACTCTGCGTAGCTGTAAGGAGGGTTGGTGGGGAAGTCAGGGGAGAGCAGAGGAGAAGCAAGAGCTCGTAGCCAAGAGGAGAGTCTCCAGGGTGCATCTTAGGTGTGCGGATGAGGTCCATGGTGCAATGAGACTGTGGTCTCGGGATGGTTCTTTGACAGCTCAGAGTTTTGATCGTTAATAGCACAATGTCCTGTCCCGAAACCAGCTCGTCTATGCAGGTCTGAGTTGAACAGTTATATGTCCACAGTCAGATTTCAGGGTGTTGGAACCCACTACGGGCCAGCTGTGGTTTGCCCTGCACCTATCCCAGCAAGGTGGGATGACACCCTGTTACAAAATGAATGTGTTCAGTCTCACTGGGCAAGAACAGCCTTTCCCTGCTTTGGGAATCACAAATATCTTGTTCTTTTACAAGTAAGTGTTCTTCCCCTGTCTCATAGCAAAACGGTTGCCCCACATTCATCAAGGACTTGCCTGGGCTTCCCTGAGTCTTTTCTTGGAGCCGTCCCCTGGGATGTGCTGGAATGTCCTAGAATGTTCAGAATGCAGGCTTGCTTGCAAACTAGGCTGAGTGTCTTAAACACGTGCATAGGAGAACAACCCACAACTTTTCCAGGCATGGTAGCAAACCGTTTTCTAGCATGTCCAGGATTTTAAAGCTGGTGAGCTCCTACCCCATTGTAGGACCATATCAGTGCCCCAACCCATCTTCCCACAGCCGTGGACACCGACCCCATTTCTGCTTGCTGGCACTTGTATTTCTTTGCCTGAGAGGTTCCTACGGCTGCCAGAACCTTCTCTGCCAAGACTAGAAGAACTAGGGGACTAATGTCCACCAGGAGCTCCCCTCAACCAGCGAGTGACGGGAGATGGTGTATAAATATTCACGCTCCCTTGGCCCTCGGGTGTATACTCTGAGGAGTGTTCTGTGCTGGCTTCCAGAGTTTCCCCGGTGGGATTACGCCGTGGTCACTGTTGGTTTGATCACATACCCTTTCTAGGCTGCTTTCCCTTCCCCATCCCATTTTCTCTCCTCCTGGAACTTCTTCCAAAGAAACTACTCGTACTCACGTGCTTGTGTCAGGGTCTGCTTCTGAGGAGCCCAAAGCAAGATGGCGGATAGTCACATTGGCCAATTACCAGGACCTAGTATGACCCCCGCACCCCCAAGGGCTTGACGTGAACTCATGGAGTCCCTCGTCACCCGGCAAGGAGGGATTCCCAGATGCAGTTGACAGGTGGGGAAACAGAGTCAGACAGGCTTTGCCCGGGGGGCCCAAAGCAAGTCAGGCTTCCACAGAACCCGGGGCAACACTCTTGCAAGTGGGGGCTGGAACTGGGTCAGTTGAGCCTGCGAGGAGGAGATGATTGGTAATCACGTCCAGCCAAGAAACGTCGAATCCCCACTACAGCTAAATAAATCCTTTTACGTGGGTTACCTAATACGACCATTATAACCACCCCAGGAAGTGGCTACTGTTATTATTATCCTTATTTGATTTATTGATTTATTTATTATCAAAAAAATTTTTTTAACATTTATTCATTTTTCAGAGACTTTCTCGAGAGAGACAGAGCATGAGCGGGGAAGGGGCAGAGAGAGAGGGAGACGCAGAATCTGAAACAGGCTCCAGGCTCCGAGCTGTCAGCACAGAGCCTGGCGTGGGGCTCGAACTCACAGACTGCGAGATCCGGACCTGAGCTGAGGTCGGACGCTCAGCCGACTGAGCCATCCAGGCGCCCCAATCCTTATTTTATAGATGAGGATCCCGAGGCAGGGGGAAGGGACCTGACCGAGGCCACGTGGCTAGGAATAGACGAAGCCCAGGTCTGTCACCTGTGCAGCATAGGGATGGGTGATGCAGGCAGACAAGTGAACAAAAGGAAAGAGGAGGGGGCACGTGAGACCATGGCCCACCCTGCCAGCAGCTGGGTGACAGAGCGTTGTCCCATCTCGGAATGCAGCTCTGTCACACACAGGGTAAATGGGTCTATTCCCTGTGAATTATCTCTTAGCCGGCAGCTCCATCCATCTGCTCATTAATCCAATAAAAAAAAAATATCAAACGAGCCTTCTGATTCCCAGTCCCCGGGGGCCCAACTACATAACTTGGAAATGACTCTTTAGTAAGTCTGATCAAGGGCTGGTTGTTCAGTGATTAGAAATCACGGCCTCTTCCTCCAGGCTGGGGGCTCGTAAACAACAGTTGGATGAGCTTTTTATTGGGGTCGGACCGAAAACCTAGAGGGATCCATTTCTTCCTAATTTACACCCATTTCAGTGGGGAGAACAGCGGGGGGCTGAGGGTTTGCTCTGGGAGACCCAGCGGCTCCCTCGGCTGCAGCAGGCAGGAAGTGAGGACGGCAGCACATATTGAGGTGCGCCCATGAGCTGCCCAAGCACGGTGATGGACAAAGTGCCTTACAGACCGGGCATCACTACCAGGTCCAGGGCTGAGTGGGGAGCAGAACCCCTTGTTTCCTCATTGAACTTCCCATAGTAGCAGCCAGTGAGAAAGGGGAATGTGGTCAGGGTTGAGCCTTGGAGAACATGGATGGGGCTGACCATCCAAAGACCCCTCAGTCAAAAGATGGTGGGTGGTAGGGAGGTTCAGCGAGAGTACCAAGTGGTTCCTTCATTGAACCATTCAATAAATATTTCTTGAGGACCTACTACATGCCAGGCACAGGGACCTGATGGTGTCTGCCCTTAAAGATAGTATAGGCCAGTGGGGGAAGATGGTCCAATCTTGGGGGGAAAGTGAAGTCCAGAGTCAGAGAAGGTGTGGGTGCACCTGCTGAAGAGGAGCGGTGTGGGGGCCGGGGCCAGGCAGACCTCTCCCCCCAGATCTGAGAACGGAAAAATCTTCGTCTTCTCAGAATCTCCGGGAATATGCTGCACATCTGGAAAAGCAACTTGCCGATTTAGCTGTGGCCTCCAAGCCCCCGTCTCCTTGCCCTCAAACTCTCATGTACTGGACATTGGCACCTAGGAACAGGAAGTCCTAGGAGAGACAAGACAGGACAAGATGGTAAAAGCCTCCTCTACTCCGAAAAGATGTATCTCCGCTTAAAGGGAGGCCCACGTCTGGGGAAACACAAGCTCTGGCAGAAACAGGTCAGTGCATAAATCGCGAACGTACCTCCATCCCCAAGGTCTCCATAAAGCACAGCTTTTGCCAGCCACCTTCTCTAAGGTGGCAATTTATCTGTCATTTCCCAAGCTGCTGCTTCCTGGCAGGCCTCATAAATGTCCTTTGTGTCACCTAAATTTTCTCTCCTTCGCGAATAACACAAAATTGTGCGCAGCTGGGATTTACTCTCCTACCTCCTGGTAACTTTATCACCCGAAGGGGCGGGAACTCTGAACTCCAGGAGAAGTCCAATTCTCTCCCACAGTGATCCATCCCATGCCTTTGGAGGTCAAACAAATGACCTCAAAATTCTAATGAGCATGATAGTGTAGAATAAATCTTCTGATGATTTCCCACGTGCCATCCTGAGGCCAGCTGTGTGAATTGTCAGTTTTGACTTAAATAACGAGCTGTCTGACTCCTTGTAATCACTCAGCAGGAGTTGGAGGTTGAGCATCTCTCGGCCCAAAAGGACTTTGGATATTGGTTTTTCCAAATATAGCAGTTGGTCAGTGTCTCAGTGTCCCTGACCACTCTGCTGCCCTTCACTCTCTTCAGTGACTGTTATTTGCTGGATATTGACGATGGACCAGATGCGATCTGGCATCTCCTTTGCTGCTCACAGGGCTGCCGACCCAGTCGTCCCACCTTGCAGATGCTATTCTAAAAAGATAGCCTGAACCGTGGGCACAGACAGACCAGAACATGCTTGGACAGCATAGTGAAGAGGAGAGTGAACAATCAAGACGTGTTCGTTGGTATCGAAATCGTTCAGTAGGTTATGGTCTCTGATGGATAGAACGGTATTTAACATGGGAGCGCCGAGGACTAGTTTGCAACAACAACAACAAAAAAGAGAAACAGCAAAGAAAGAAAAAGGGTCTGGGCACCAGGAGTGCAACTATCCCAAACAAACAAACGAACGCATTTTTGAAATACCTAGAGGGGCGCCTGGGTGGCTCAGTCGGTTAAGCGGCCGACTTCGGCTCAGGTCATGATCTCGCGGTCCGCGAGTAACTGTGGGGGGGTGGAGTATGGGGTGATGGTCTATGAGGGGGAGCACATCAAACCTATATTAATAATAACGTCCCTCCGCTTAAGAATTTAGAAGAAATGTTCAAAGCTTACAAATGGCTTTCATAACCTGGGCTGTTGCCATGGCAGTGTTTTCAAAATGAGCCGGTCTTGAAGTTCCCCATGGTGGGAGGGGGTGGGAGGCAGTGGGGACAACAGACCGTGTCAAATGCCTCTTGCCCCGGTAGGGGTACCACCTCTGAAGGACACGTCGATCACTGCACGGCATCTAGCCATGCCCGGGGCATCCCTCCCCAATCCAGGCCTTCTGAGCTGTAAGGCTGGGCTGGCTCCGACCCACTGAGCTATGGCCCCTGAACTTGGAAAACTAATCACCCCCCCTGCCCCAAAACCTCAAAAGCCCACCTGAGCCCACTGACCTTGTGGATCTCGAGAACAGGGTCATAGAGCTGAATGCGCTTCAGCAGAGGGAGGGGGAAGCCTTCTGCCAACTTCTCTGGAGGTTGAGGCATAACATTGAGAGAGATTTGTTAATAAACAACAATTGTAAGGTAAGTTCCTCTCTGCCAACTCTATACACGGTATGTTCCCATTTAATTATCACCAAAGATTATGAGGTAGATAAGACTATTATTTCCATTTCACCGATAAGGAAATTGAGGCACAGAGTGGCCAAGGAACCTGTGCGAGGTCAGAAACTGGCAGAGCTGGAATGTCAACCCAGGCAGGCTGCTATAGGAGCCTGAAATACCAGCCACGGTGCCGTATGGGAGGAGTGGCCGGGATGGGGCAGCACACGCTCATGCGAAGAAGCTAGTGGGCACCTGCTCTCTGCCCTCCGCCCCTGTCCTGCCCTCTGTCGCAGCCAAATGAAGCAGGTCCTTGTGGAAACAGTGTTTAGGGCTTTATGCCTTATTTTCTGATTAGGGAGTTGGCAACCGACTGGAAAATTCAGAGATGGGCCACCTCGTGCCCTCTGTATTAACTTGGTCCTCTGTCTTTTGCCAGCCATTTCGGGGTGTAGGGGGCACTTCTGTGGGCCCCTCCTTCTCTCTCAGGAGGAGGTTTCCTGTGCTCCAAAGAGCTGCCTCAGTGTCCAAATTTCGCTAGAGCCTTGGAGGGAGATGAGGCCACCTCCAATAGGCCCATCTCACAGACGGGCCGCTGAAGCTCAGAGGAGAAATGACTAGTCCAAGGTCACTCAACCTGCAGGAGAGCCCTGTTTCCCATCTCCAAGTCCAGCTCCTTTCCCCCCAAAGAGTATTGTCCTTGATTTGGAAAAATCCATAGTGATTCTTACCGTTGACCCGAGGGTAGAGGGTGTTGAGAATGTGGTAGTTGAGCAGCGCCTCCAACAGCTCCACCTGGTGGAGAACAGGAGAGATACAACTGTGACCACGCGCCATTTTGCCTGGGCTCAGCTAATTCTCTACGTGCTGCCATGGCAAAAAAGACGGAAAAAAAGCAAATTTCAGATAGATGGCTACATCATGCTACTATTTTATGAGATAAAACTATCTTGAGATGCACATTTACGTGCGTGCAGACGGATAGAAACATTTGAAAGATTACACACCCAACTGTCCTTCCTCAGAAAGAACATCAGGGTTTGGCTTAGCCTTATCTTTAGTATTAATTTTCTTTCTTTCTTTTTTTTTACAATTTAATTTTTCCTTCACCGAATGTTTTCCTGAATGAATTTTTTTTTTTTTGGAAAAAATTTCAAAACGAAAGTTATGAAACCCAACTTTTAACATTCACCGTGTGCCCGGTATAGGGCTCAGAGCATGACGTACACATCTGATTCAATCTTCACAATAACCCTTTGGAGTTGATATTACTGCCCCCATTTCACAGACAGGAAAACCGAGACCCACAGAATGAAAGTGACTTTCAGAAACTGAGCAGCAGGGGCCACATTTGAACCTGAATTTATCTGATTCTATCATTCTTGCTTTCTACATCCTCTGTTCTGGTAAGATGACTTTTTGTGAATCTTTACATTTGACGGTTCACTTCATAGAACATTTTTAATTTTTTTAATGTTTATTTATTTTTGAGAGAGAGGGAGAGGGAGAGAGAGAAACAGAGCATGAGCAGGGGAGGAGCAGAGAGTGAGGGAGACAGAATGAGAAGCAGGCTCCGGGCTCTGAGCTGTCAGCACAGAGCCCGA